GGCACATCTGCGACCTCACGCGGGCAGCCTGAGCGCCGCTGTTTTGGCGCAGTCGGCCCCCGGGTTCCTCACGTCGCTCAGGTAAGCCCGCGCAACGTTTGCCCGAGGGAGTGTTCGCTGCAGCCTGCGTACACAGGAAAGCCACCCGGTGCCCCGCCTCCGTCCTTGTGCTTTTGCCCCTGCGCGGTCCCAGCCGGTCCCATGGCACAGCAGGCTAAACCTCTGGCTCCGTCGACGCGAGTTGTGTAACGCCTACATTGCTGTCGAGATGCCGCATCAAACCCGCCCACCCGCACAACAATGAAATTCTGTTCAGTCGCAACCCTTCGCAGCATGTAGCTCCTCATTCTTACCTTGGGCCGAGGGAGGTGAGCAATCGGATGTGTTGATGATATCAACGTGTTTCCCCAATCCAGGCGCAAGGATACACAAACTGATGATCTCATGGGCACATTCTGGTGTTGGCGCTACGTCGACAACGAAGTTGCCCATTCCACGCGCGCGCGCGGGTGACCAGCGTGGCACTGTTTGACAAGGGTGGTGACCGTCCAGCTCGCGCGCGTGGGCCGCATGGTAATACTTCATTGGTAACGATTCAAAACGCACGTGTAAAGTCAAACGCATGCACGCCGCATAACATTATTTGGCAGGGATGGCACCCAGGCCGAATCATACGGATGCCAGGATGGTGTGGATTAACTCGAAGGATGGACGTGGACGTTGGGTACAACACACATTGAAAACCATTTGGAAATGCCCAGGCCGGATCTGGCGGGTGCTGGGCCTAAGAGGACCCTGGGCCGGAACCCTATCTAGGGAAAGCCTTCGGCACGAATCGCTCTTGCTCCATCCTCGAACCTCGGTCCTCGAAGCTCACCCCGCCAACCCACCCCTCCTTGCCTGTTCTCCTGCCGCAGGGACACCGCCATGGCGCGCGAGATGGTGCCGCTGCCGAGCGGCCTCGAGGCCGCCGGCTGCCAGCCTTCCGCGCGCGTGCGGGGTTGTCGTCGTCGTCGTCGTCGTCGTCGTCGTCGTCGCAGCCTGCCTCATTCTTGTCGTCGCCACTGTCGGCGCAGCCGCCGCCCACGCTGGCTTCGTCCTTGTCGTCACTGTTTCGGATCCTTGAAGAAATTTCTGAATGTTCTCGTCGCCACCGCTGGCCGCGGCTCAAAAAACTAAACCAGATGGACCCTGAGCGGGAGCCAGGGGAGTAGGATGGGGAGGAGGAGGAGGAGGAGGACGAGAAGCGAGAAAGAGAGAGAAGGAGGGAGAAGGAAGAGCAGACGAGTGTATGAAGGTGCACGCTGATCCCAGCGCTGTCGCTGATGACGTCATGCTCCACCTTCACCTTGCACATCGCTGAGCAGTTGCAAGGCCTGATGCCACTCCCCCTTTCTCGCACACACACACACACACAAGAGGCACGGCTGGTGGAGTCCGAAGCTCACGTCGCCTCCAGTCTCACGGAACAGCCAAGGAGCCGTTCGCCACCGCAAATATTTCTCGCACGCGCTTCTCGCAGCGCTGAAGCTGACGACTTCTGGGTCCAATTTCGGTCCGATACTTTGGTTCAGAAGTAATAACGCCTGCTGCCACTGCCTGCCTCTGTCACACGCGCTGATCCGAGAGTTGAAACTGATGACGTCGGGCTCCAAAATTGCGTCCCACGCGTGGCTGAGCAACAGCAAGCTCTGCTGCCACAGGAAGCCTTTCTTGCACGCACTTGTCCCAGAACTGTAGCTGATAACGTCAAGTTTTATCTTAGCCTCACGCATACCGTTGAACAGCGTGAGGCCATGTTGCCAGTTCGAATGTTCCCGCACGCGCGACTCCTCATGCTATAGCTGATGACGTCCAGTTCTGCCGACGTCTCGCTCTGCCCCCGGAAGAATTTCGCGCAAGCACTGTGCCCCCCAGGAATGTAGCCGCTGACGCATGGCTTCACCTTCGCCATCGCCATTCGCACCTTGCCGACCAGTTCGCAAAGCATCGTCAGAGCCTATTGCCACTGCTTGCCTCTTACACTGGCCTACATAGCTCAAGCACGGAAGCCTGGTCTGACTTTCGCGCGCGTCGCACCGAGGAAGATTTGCAGCGCAGCGCGCCACTGCTTTGCCCCCCATCCACACTTCTTGAGGGCCGCTTCGGGGAAATGGGGACCTGGATAGGATCATCCCTGGCTGCATTGCATCTATGGGTCCGTACGTAATGGGTCTGCACATCTACCGTCGATACATGTCAGATCTGAAAGTGAGAAGGAGGAGGAGGAGGAGGAGGAGCGCCAGTAGCTTCAGCGAGTCGGTCGAGCTCAGCCCCGACGCCTCGGCCTGAGCCAGCTGTATGGCCCAGCCGCATTGGGCGGAGGGGGTAGAATCGAGTAATTGCTTGGCATTTTGGCCAATGCCGCTTTCAAAGCATCGAGCTGCTGCGGGAGAGTTAAAGTGCGCCCGTCTTGATGCGAAGCAATCTCCTTGGCAACGTGGTAGATATAGAGACTGAGAGCCGTTGCTAAAATAGCATTCTCCCGGGTGAGGTCAAATGCCGGATATTGCGTAGGGAGACCAAGACCGAGGCGGAGAAGGGGACACGGCGAGACGACAGCACGTGGACGACAAACGAGGTGAGTGAGGCGGGGGTACTTTAAATAGTGTGCTATGCTATCGGGGTGCGAACATCCGAAAACACAGCTCCATAAAGTATCTGTAACGTGCATTCGGCCCATGGTGGTCCATCCCCCCGAAATCGTCTTCAGGTACGGCCAGCGAATGCTCGGAGGGGCCCGGCGCAGGATTTCCCGCACCAGGCTCCATCGAACTCGCATGTTTCGGGGGGCAGGACAATCGAACCAGGACCGCAGGCGCCGCCCAATTAGGAGCTCAGGCTTATCGGGATAGGCAAGACTCGCAAGGGTGCGCGCATAGAGACCATGCATCTTGGGCCGACGACCCTCCCGGGTGGCCTCGCGCACGGCGATTCGTGCACGGCGCTGGGCGAGGCGAAGCTGCACAGAAGAGAGGGGGGGGGTGCGACACCGGCATGGCGGAGGAAAGTTGCGCATAGTATTGGACAATCGCCTGGCGGCGCTGCCAGCACGGAGCACACCAGCTACCCTATACGAGGTCGACTGCTCCGAGGCCCCCGGCAGCACTCGAGGCCTCCGCGGCGTCCCTTAGACGGCGAAGGAGGGGGCCCCAGAGAGAGTCGAGCGTGAGTGAAGCGTAGCGCCAGGCACAAGCGAGGGCAGAGGACAGGAGCGAAGAAGGGACAGGGGAAGGGGACCAGGTGCCAAGAGAGAGGAACTCAGAGAGAGCGAAGGAGTTGGGAGGAAGGCGCAACGATTTGTGCAGGCCCCACAGCTCTTTCTTCCGCATGGTGTCGCTAATGGGGCAAAACTGCGCCACATAAGACGCGCAGGACAGAACCGACGAGTTGTACAATCTGGCAGACACGTCGGCGGAAGAGGCAAGAGCACCGAGCTCAATGCATATGCTGCGCCACTTCATGAACGGGACAGCCCATTCATTATCGAGGGTCGCACCTGGTCCCTGTAGGGTTCCCAGATACTTAGCTTTAGGTGCGACTAGAAATTGAGACCAGCTGGGAGCACACAAAGAGAGCTCAGCCTGGACAACGGATTTGACCTCATCTGTAAGGTCAGCCCACAGTGGAACGATGACGCACTTGACGGCCTGCAGAGATAACGCCGCAACCTGCCGCAGCCGGAGAAAATGGGGCTCAAGGACTCGAACCGTCTGCAAGGCGCGGAAGACCGTGCCGATGTCATCCGCGCAGGCTCCGAGAGAACCAAGCTGACGAGTGGGAAGCTCCCGAGAGCGGAGGCGAAGGAAGGGGTCGAGTCCAAGCGCCCACAACGTTCCACTGAGCGGGCATCCCTGGGCAACGCCCGAGAGGATTGGGATCTCACTCACGCGTTTGCCTCCTACTTTGACAGATCCTACCATGCTGGAGTATAATCCGGCAATAGCATGCCTGCACCCGAGAGGAATTGTGAAGCGCTCCAACACTTTGCTCAGGTAAGTTCTGCTCGGGCTCGCGAAAGCCGACGCGAAATCAAAGATAATAAAAACGGGATGGTTCGCCGCGGCCCCGGGATCCACTGAAGCGATTTAGCATTATGTGTCCATGACAAGGATGTGTTTGACGAAATTCCGCCCCGAGATGAAGCCTTGCTGGACCTCGTCGGTGGCGCGCTCGGCCACGCGCTTGATATTCCAGTTGATGGCCGAGGCGATGGCCTTCGAGTCCTGGTTCTTGAGGCTCAGCGGCCTGGTCTGGTGAGGCTGGCGAATGCAGTCCAATAAGTCGCCGCGGCCCTCCTCCGGCGAGCCCTTCGGCAGAAATGCGAAGCCGCTGGCATTCAGGCCGGGCGCCATGACCGCGCCCTCGAACAGCTTCAGCATCACCGGATAAACGTGATCCATTGCACGCGGGCATGGGAGCCACGCCTCCACCGGTAGCCCGTCAGGCCCTGGTGCTGACCGACTCGCCCGACTCAGAGCGGCGCGCAACTGCTCCAAGCTGGGGGTCGCGAGGTCCACGAGGGGCATGCTGGGCATCGCGCTGTCGAGGAACTCGTCGAGGGCAGATGCGTCGACCTCGGCGCCCAGAAAGACAGGGGCCCAATGCTTCAAGAGGGCGTCGGCGATGTCACTGGGTTGCCGGGCGACGGGGCCGTCGGGGCCGCCAGAGTGGAGCTGCAGGCCGTTCAGAACGAGGCGCTTGCGGAAGGGGGCCCACAGGGCTGCGCGCCTGCGCGCCAACGCCTCCCAGCGCTGTAGCACGTCAGCACGCTCGGGGCTCTCGTTCTGCTTGACTCTCCAAGCGGCCAGTTGGACCTGGCGCTCATGCCAGCGACGATTGAGGTCATGATACTCGTGCTCGAAGCTGGTCGCGTCGACGAGGCGGACGATGGCGGAGTTTTCGATCACCTCGAGGTGTCGTCGACCAAGCTCCGCGTTGCGAATGAGGCTCAGAGCGATCCAGCGGTCCTGACGCCACACCGCGCGCGCGATACTCCGCATGGTAGCCTCCGAGCCTCGAGCGTCTGGGGGGGCCCATCTCCGTGCCCAGGGGGAGCTTGGAGAGTGCGTTCTGGGTGAACCGGGCTGCCTCCTTCATCATGCGTTTCGTCTCCGACAGCCGCTGTTCGGGGGGAAGGGTGACCAGGTCCAGGGCGCCCATCAAGGTGCCCAGCGTCGCGGTGTACATTGGGGACTTGAAGATGTGTTTGGGAATGCTCTGCGCGTCGCGCTCGATGGCAATCCGCGGTCGTATGCGCAAGACCACGGCCGCGTGATCACTCAGGCGCCAGTCGGCGTAGTTGGCGGCCTCGCGGTGCACCTCGAAGTCGCAGATAAGCTGCTCGAGGTACTGGGGTGGCAAGGAGACGAAAGCCCGGTCGATGCAGGTAGCCGTCGCAGTCGCACTCGAGTAGCGAGTTGGCATCTCGCTCGTGATCTCAACCACTTGGTCGTCGAAGATGTCTTGCCACTGCCGATGGGTGTTGTCTGTATCGCGTAGCCGTGCGGGTGGCCTGTCCGGCCTCGGGTCGGACGTAGGAGGCGGTGGCGGCGGCGTTCAAGTTGAAGTCCCCGATGGCGACGAAGGTGCGATCCTCGACCAGCTCGGCAGCCCAGCGTGCGGCCGAGTGCCATGCGCCCGCGGTCCGCGCCAGCTGCTGCTGGGAGAGGTCGAAATTGTGGACATTCATGATGCGTAAAGCTTTTCCCGTGGTAGGGTGCGTAATTTGTACAAGTTGAACCCGCCCTGGAACGATGAGATCCTGCCATTGCTGCGGGCGGTCAGCAGGAGGAACAGCGGCGATGGCATCTGCGCAAGAAAGCGGGACTAAGACCGCCACGCCGCCAAAGCCTGCAGGTGAGCCGTCGTCTCTCAGGGGGGCCGCCGAGAAGTGGATGTGGTAGCTCGATGTGAATTGCTTCAGTGTCTCCTCCAGAAGTTGACGAGAACCTCGAACTTCTTGCAGACAAATGATAGCTTGCTGTCTGAGGAAGGGTGCGAGGTGACGGAATCTCTTCATGCGACGGGGTTTGCGAGAGCAGAGGAGCGATCCAGCATGCCAAAAGATAATCTGGAGACCAGCAGAAGCAGTAGAGGCTGCCGGTGCGATGGCCCAGGGGCGCCAGCGATCGTCAAAGATGCCATCCAGAAGTATCAGCACCGCCAGGTTGGGCGAATAGGTTGGCGAACTGCGTGCGGTACTTGACGTGGTCCAGTCCGAAGTTCTGAATCGTGTGCGGGTTCCAGATGATCTGCGTGGGCTCGTCCATGGCGCCAACCTGGAGCTCGCAGATGGGGACGGCCTCTGCGGAGATGGTACCCTTGCTGCGGTTGACCTTCCAGTTGAGATCGGGGCGGTCCGTGGCCAGGATGGTGTGAAGCTTCTTGGACTGAATCTCACGACGAACATCCTTTTGGCGATTTATCTCCACTGACGTAGAGTGGCTGGGGCTGGCCAGCAGCGTTGTTGACGTGGAAATCGCGCCAGCGGCCGCCCACCTCAAGGTTGCGAGTGAGTGCCAGTGTGCACGCAGGAGCCTCCGCACCTCCAGCGATCTGGATGGTGAAGCGCTTGTTCGGGGCGTCAGTGCCGATGACCGAGAGGCAGGCGATGTCGACCCCGGCGTCGCGGAACCATGGCGTGAGAGCGGTCTTGAGCTCGGCCATCGTGAACGTCGACGGTGAGCCGCACGAGAAAACCGTGGGCTCGGGCGGGCGATCCCGCTCCGCGAGCTGCTGGAGCGAGAAGGCGGGGATCTTGGACTCAGCCATCGAGAGAAGCTCCTCCATCTTTTTGACGGATTCCTTGATATGTTTCTGCTCTTTGTCAAGCTTGTTGGATTGCTCGCGGTAGACGTGGAGCTCCCTCTCGAGTTCCGAATGTTTCTGGTGTACTGGTGCCAGTTGCGATTGCATGGACTGGATGATGCCCGCCTGTAGCGAGCCCTGCATAGACTCGAGGCTGGACGTGACCATCGTCGACAGAGAGGCCGATAGATTGGCCTCGATGGAGGCCTGGGCCGCACCGAACTGGTTGGCCACGAGGCGTTGGATCTGATCCTCGAGCGTCGTCGGAGTGTCCGTGCCGCCGATGGGCGTGCCAGCGGCGGGAGTGACATCGGCGGCGGCGGCAGCAGGGCCAGCGGCGTCTGCGGCGGCAGCACTGGGTGCGGGGGCGCCTCCGGCCCATGGGTCCCTGGCCCCCAGGGGGGCGGCTCCACGAGGATCTGCCCGAGGCTCGGCGCGGCGCCCGTCACCACGACGATCGCGGCCCCGTTCACTACCTCGGCGCACGTCAGGTCCACCTCCAAGGCGCTCGTCACGGCGTTGACGCTGGCGTGGTGGCCGACGCTGCGAGAGCGAGCCGCCGCTGCGGCTGTGGCTGTGGCTGGCAGCACCGCCGTCACTACGGCCGCTGTCAGAAGAGCCGTCCATCGCATGCGGGTTCTCCAGCAGGAG